TCATAAATAGAAAAAAGGAGGGGAAAAAACTTTGAAGAATCAAAGAAGAAGCAGCTTACCGTTTACCCCATGGCAAGCAATATCGCACACAACATTGCTTCCATCCAAGATATACTCGAGCACCACCGGGTCGCTTTTTAACGAAGCCTTCTGTATGCTTGCCACCTAATTCATTTACAAAAGAGAAACGAGATACTTCGAGGAATTCGGCCTGAATTTACAGGAAAATTTTGACACGATAAATTTCTACTGGGACACAAGAACGGAGGGTCGTGACTCACAGTTTCGTGGTGATTCCTGTTGATAGGGATATGTAGCAACATTTGCAGCCAATGCTCTAATTGGTCCTACATTTGTTTACATTAATGAAAGCTTTGAACACAGAAGAGTAACAAACCTTACGGAGATCCAAATTCGTCACCATAGAATCGGGCATAATAGGAAAACGAGGAAGACCATGCTTTTTGCGTGTTCGTAACTTTCTTTTTTTCATTTCTGTGGGCGACGCTGTTTCATCATCGTCTTGCAGAATGCCGGCTAGAAGAAATGACATGCATACAAGTAGCAAAGAATATGCCGAAGTTATTATGAAAAAATGACTACGATGCCGAAAATACAAAGTAAAGATATAAAACACCTACCAAATGAATTTCATAGCATTTGATAAATGAAAAATAATTGTGGGTCTATGTTTACTCTTGTTAGATTGGGATAAATAATAAAAAATTATAAGCAGATAAATAAGTAGCAGATGCTCACACTGCACTGCCTGCTCCATTTTTACTCGCACTTCATCAGATGACGGTGATGTAGTGTTCTCCGATGACGCTATGGGAACTACTTTTTTGACTTCAAATGCATCAGAATCTCGAGAAAGCATATGCAGCTGAAATATATATATATATATATATGGAATATATGAGTAGTAAAAAAAATCTTATCTTGACACAACCACTGATATATTATTACTTTTTATTATTTGCAAAACTGCTTCTTTAATGAAAAAAAAACAAAGTTATTGGAAAGTAGCGAGAAAAAGATGTCTATTGAAACTCGATTCCCATTTCTTCTTTCAAATGAAAACCAAGACGATAAACAGCTAACCTTAGATCTTCGCTTTGAGGATGAGCGATAATACGGACAGCCCTCCTTGTGATCAGGAATTACATCAATACCGATAGACTCCAACATGGTATCCACACGCTCTTGCGCTCTGCAAGAAA